AACCACGAAACTAGCCCTCGTTCGGTTCGAAAAGGTACTCTCGCAAAAGCACAAGGCAAAGAATACAAAAATATAAACATGAATACGTTCGATTAACATTTTAACGGTAGACAAATACCAACAGATAATTATCGAACATAACGTGGAAATCGACAAAATAAAAGACAAATCGTTCGTTTTTTTGAATTACAAAACAACATTAACAAATTACGACGTAAAAGAAACCATTATTCCGATAATCGTTACGAGGGAAAAAGTCGCTTTTGGAACATGTGTGGTAAAAACCACTTGTGGTATAACCACTTTATGCAGTAAGACTGCTTTCGTTTTGAGGTTAAACCTCTTCGTGCGTGGAAAAACCACTTTTACGTTTTTGGTATATAGTGATACTATTTGAGGTAAGACCTCTTTGCCGTGGTAAGACCACTTGCTGCTTCCAGCTGCGGTGAGACCGCTTCGAGAAGTGAGGATCTCAACCGGCGCTCGGGACCTATAGGTTTTCGGTGTAGTGGGGACGACCGGCCGCGTTTATCGATGGTGGGGACCGCCGGCGCTTGAACGCGTGCGCGCAAATATCGGTTTTCGTCAGGACAGTATGTTTGCACGACTCACCACATTCATCGATTATATATAAATAAAAAAAATGTTTTCCTTATTATAAACAAAATAAACTTTAAATAAATTATTTGACGATACGTTTCTCACAATTTATCCTCCTAAGATGAAAACAATTGAAAATAAAAAAAAGTATTTTTCATTTTTTGATAGTTGTCAATATAAGTATTGACAAAATAATTGCCACAAAGAAGATACTTGTCATCTTTATTGTTTTCAAAAGCGAAGTACTGAAGTCGACTGTGAAACACGGAGGTGGTTCTGTGATGGTGTGGGGGTGCATGGGTGATGAAGGTGTCGGTAATCTAGTTTTCATCAATGGTATTATGGACAAAAACGTTTATTTGAACATTTTGAAACAACATTTGTCTTCAAGTGCTGAAAAATTAAAAGTGAGTGCCAATTATTACTTTCAACAAGATAATGACCAGAAACCAGAGATGTGTCCAGAAACGGAACAAGAAGGAAAAATCACTTCTGTTCTGTTCCGTGCCTGAGAACAGAAACGAAATTACAGAGGGACTTTCGTTCCGTTCCAAGACCAGAACAGATGAGAAGATAGATGGACTGACAGACAGACAGATAGATGGACGTCATGTCCAAATATGTTGTGACTTCTCTAAAGATACGCAGTAGCCCACACAGCACATGATATTTCCTAAATATTTCTGAAATATTTCATTGAAATTTTGAAATATTCCAATGCAAAGTCCTTAAAATATTGCTGAAATTAGGGAAATGTCAGCCTATAAGAAATATTGCCGTGTAATTTTGCTAAAATATTTCATTAAAATATAGAAAAATTCCAACTTAAATGATGCGCACTGGTCGATCTCAGTTTTTATGGCCTGTACAGCTGCGCAGTAGTTTTTAATTTTCTAGGATCCTAAGTTGTTAAACATGTTAGAAAATTACGATTGATTTCATATTTTAAAAAATTTTCTAACTTTCTTTGAAATATTTCCTGAATATTGCAGTCTTCATGTGTAATATTGCATGAGTTTTAAAGTGTAATATTTCAACAAAATTACACGGCAATTTTTCTTATAGGCAGACATTTTCCTGTTTACATCAACATTTCATGAACCTGGCATTGAAATATTTCAAATCTTTCAATGAAATATTCATGAAATGTTTAAGAAATATAATGTGCTGTGTGGGAAGGTAGTGCACTTTAGACATGCGCAGTAGAGCCCATTGATATTTGGACTTGCGTAGTTGAGTTGAGTGCAATTTAGACATGTGCAGTAGGGTCAATTAAAGTTTTCACATATCAACCCTACTGCGGATGACTACAATGCATATAGCACTACTGCGCATGTGAAAAGTTCAATTGACCCTACTGCGCATGTCTAAAGTGCAAAATCCCGTGCCTAACACTTTCTTTCTCGATGATCTACAGTTTGTTTTAATCTGTCACTTCGTACACCGAGATTATAGGTGCAACCTTCTTTCCGTGTACATTTTCTTGTACAAGTATATTTTCTTGTCCAGGATCTTGTACAAGTTCTGGTACAAGAACATGTCTCAATTCCGGATGCTGAACTTGTTCAAGAACATTACTCGAACCTGTACAAGAAAATGAACAAGTTCATTAATGAACATGTATAAGAACTTGTACATTTTCTTGTACAAGTTTTTTCAACCGGGTTTACGAACGGCAGGGCAATCAATTCATGAGCAAACATTAATTGATATTTTTTCTCATATTTAGTTATATTAATAATAATATTTATAATAATTTATATAAGTAATAAATTTTAAATTATTAAAATAAATGAAACTATTTCCTAGCAGGGATCTATGTTGTTACTTCAGTTTAACACGTAAAATGATAATTACAGAGTTTCTAGGAATAATTAAACTTACTAGTTTTACTGGTAGATAAGATAACTCCTAGTGATGACAAAGCTGATGCACTCAAACATTTTCTTGGGTCGAAGAATACAAAATCCCTTCATAGTTTTGTATGTATTGCTAGTTCCCATTCACCTAAACTGCCGCGCCGGCTCAAATCTAACGAGTCGAAGGAAGCCAGCAATAAAAAGAGAAAAACCCTTATGCTGAAGAAACAATAGCCAACCGTAATGGCTGACGCCGAGCCAACTAACCCAGATTAGTTAATGTAAATTTCTTGTCTTTATTTCCTTTGTTCTATTTCCCCTCCCGTCCTTTTCCTTTCTAATTTTATTGCAGGGCCTGACCATCAATTTTGAATACGCAAATAAACATCTAGGAGTCAGTCTTTAAGAAACCACCTAGTATTCTAGTTGTGTGAATGTAACATAAACAATAAAATTATATAATATTGTTTTCTTTTATTTTTTTTTGTCTAAACCAATTCTCATGATCAATAACATCATCTGTAGAAATCGAAAGCTGAAACAGATCTGCATAGAATTTCGGAAATGTTCTCACCAGAACAGGTAAAAGTTCAGCTGCTGAACATGTACATTTTGTTGTACAAGATCTTGTACAGGGTTTTTCAATAGGGTATGGACAAGTTGCCAAGTGAAGGCTACGGTATAATTAATGAGTGCAAATCAAATATTGTTGAAAAAATTCGTCAGTATTAAAATAAAATTATGAGTTAATGATACTTGGTGAGACTATGATCAAAAACGAAATCGATGGAAATAATTTATGAAATGGGCTGTTGCTAGAGAAAAAAAATTTTTCCTTTTCAAAAGGAGATGACATTGGCTCAACGCTATCTATAACCCGAGAAGAATTCTGACGGACCAAGGGACTGCTTTCACTTTTCAAGAATTTAAGAAATATATCTAATCGAAAAACCTGTTTCCAGTTTGGTGTGCACATGAAGTTGAAGGAGCATTTATGAATAGAAGAGTTTATAGGAGAAAAAATTCAAACTAATTTTTAGGAGCAACAAAATGAAAGTAGAACGCAAACACAAACTCAGATTTAGAAATTGCTGACTATCCAACGAACTCAGGATGTAAGAAATAACAGGGTGTATCGTCATGTGACAGGTGAAGGTCAACAAAAACTGGATGAGAAAATAAGCAATAATGAGTATATCGTACGTGCGGACTGTAAAGAAAAGTCCCTTTGTCGCCATTAAGAATCATGGCTAAGATACGCGTCACCAAACCGAAATTCATGTAGATACGCGCAGATCTGAAAATTCTCTTCCACGAGGCTCCGTCGCGGAGATCCAGAGTACCCTCTCCGCTCACGGACCGACCACTGCTGTGTAACTTGACTCTCAGCATGAGCTTAAAAGAAGCGACTCCGGCCGTAACTTTTACATTTTGATTCGATGTCTCGCTTCGAGACAATTGGAGCATTTCTCAACACAGAGTTTTCCTCTAGCAGAAATGAGAATTTCTCTTTCTGATTTAATATATTGTGTGTTACTCAATATATTAAAAGGGTAAAATTTATAACCTATGGAATATTTGTTTTATAGAAGTTTATGCATTTCATGCTTCCACTCGTGCATTTCACGAGCAACAAGAAGTAATTTCACTTTGGCTGTTTGTCCAAATGAGCATCATCTAGACCATTTATGTTACGAGAGCACATCATCTAGAATTATTATCGTCATCATCGTTGTCTTTCCACTTTGATGTATACCTTGATCCGACGAGCTAATTCGGCTGCACGTAAATAAAACTTTAACATTCATTACAAGGGAGATCCTTGTTAAAAGTTGTGCTCAAAGTACTTAGAAGATCATCAAGGTCTTAATAATGGACACATGACATCAGGATTTCCAAGTGTAAAATATTTTATTGTATTTATTTATTTTAAAATCTCATTTCACTTTTATGTTCAAGTAGTTAAATAAACGCGTTTACAAGAGCTCATGTGCGTGAGTCCGCCAATAGTGGGGACAGTAAAGTATTTCAGTTCTTTTTGAGACACTTGACACAAATGGTCGTGATGTAAGGTTCTATATCTTCATTTCCTTTAATTAAATACACACATAAACTTGTAGAAAGTCTATGATGTCTTTTTTCAATCTTATATAACATAATAATTAAAATTAAATTAAACTACATATTGAAAACCCACTTGAAGATTAAGAAAAGTTAACACTGATGAAGTTATCCCTTATCAAATATAAAAATTGTCTTGAACCAAAGTAAATATTATTTAACAGGCTACTAATTTTAATTTGACTAACGAAACTTAAACTAAGCTTTACAAAATTCAGATCATGGTGATTAAAAAAAGAGTTGAACCTATACCGAAAATAATAATGATACAGTGTTTGTAACGGCAGTGCATGGTGCAGAATAGCGTAACGCGCAATGCAAAAAATTTTGCAAGGTTTAGTGATGTGATATTTTTTGAGTGGAAATACGTCAAGCAGGCATAAGTATTAAAAATTTACCAGTAATCGATGAAGATCTCACCTGTACTATGACTGCGCAGTTTTTCTTCTGCTTTTCTAATATTCTCTTCTCTCGTTGGAGGTTTCTCTGTTTTCTCTGGATAGTTAGAATAGTGTGATGTTGGCCATGAAGTAGTTATTCTCTTTGGTGGAACTGGAGTCGTCTTTCTTTCTGCAAATAAATTAAGGACTAGGTTCAAGATTTACTTGTGCCTACGAAAACGCCATTGTTTGCCAAGAGTCGGTATTTCAGGCGAATCACTATTCCACACCATACTGAATATACTGTTAAATCAAAATTTCAAATATTTACATGTATAAAATTTTGATATTCAAAGTACATTATTCAAAAAATTCTTTACATATTTACATTTTATTAAATGTTTATACAGTTTAAAATTTATGGATCATAAATCTACAAGCAAAATAATTTTGAATTCACTACTTACGAAAAGTTCATTTAAAAAAACTCTTTGTAAGTTTTGTCATGAGACAATAACTTTTCGAGAAAAGCATCCCGCTCGTAGAGAAGAAACATATTATTCTAAGAAGGGGGTTACAAGAAACAGCGCTGCTAAGTAAGCAATAATTGTTTCTATTTTGGTAATTAAACCTAAACACTTTATTTCCTCATGAAGATTTTTTGTGATCAATTTTTTGTGACTTACTAAGTATTATAATAATTTTAAAAAAGGTAATATAACTTTGTTATATTTTATAATAATAATAAATTAATAATGTAACGAAATTTAATAGTTTAATTATTATTATTGTGACTACCTCAGCCGACAGGATTTGGAGATTAATAATATTTACATATAAGGAATATAAAAAAATGAATAATTTATGAGAACATAAAACAAAAACATAATAATATAAAATTATTACAAGGTGATAAAGAAACTAAAACATAGTCAACATGTTTCGGTAATTGACTCACAGCGGATGAAAAAAATAATGAGACTTGTATTTTTTAATTTACTTTGAAAGCAAAAAGTCCTTTATTAATAATTTTAGCTTCTGTTAAAAGGCGTTTTAGCTTGTCGAAGGCTGGTTGTCTTTCTGGTTCTCAACTCCACTTGGTATTTATCTTGAGTAAATGTGTAAGTGATGAGATAGTTTTCGAGATACGTTTTACAAAGCGACAGAACCATGAAATTATACTGAAGAATCGGTGAAGTTCTTTAAAACAGTGGAATCCGCTTAGTATGACTCCGCTTACAATGACCAACCGGTTATTATGTCGCACTTATAACAATATGTTTGGTCTGTGTATAAATTATATAGAATTTAGGCCGTTTATAATGACATCGGTTATAATGACAAACCGCTTACATTGACGTAGTTTTAAGTAAATCAATCCGTTTATAATGACGAATTTCAATTAACAGTTGTTTTTATTTTCGATATCTCTCTATTGTCTAGCATCACTTAGCGTTACATGAGACTGTTTGGATCCGTAGTTTTAAATTGTTAGTGATATTGTGAACAGTTTTAGTGAATTTGCTCTGAAAATGGCTTCACATCGGAAAGCTTTCACGATAGAAGAAAAAGGTGCAATTATCTGCAGGCTAGAAAAAGGGGAATCAAATTCATCGTTGGCCAAAGAATTTGGGGTTGGACATTCAACAATATCAATGACTAACAAAAACAAAACAAAAATTAAAGAATCTTTCAATTCTAATGTGTTGAAGTCGAAGAGACTTCGCAAGTATAAACGAGAAAATGTCTATAAGGCTTTAGTGCAGTGGTTTAAACAAATAAGAAACCAAGGAATACCAGTTAGCGGCCCCATGTTAAGGGAGAAAGCAAATTTTTTTGCAACTCAATTTAACATTGTTAATTTTGATTGTAGTCTCAGCTGGATAAGCCGTTTTAAAGCAAGACATAATATTGTGTCAGGATCAATAGCCGGTGAGACATCATCAGTTGAACAAAACATCGTTACAGAATGGTTAACAACAGTGTGGCCTGACAGAACTAAACTAACTTCCGAAAAAATCTTGTTTTTAAAACAATTGAGTGCTTAGATTCTAATCAGGATTTTTACAAGATAAAGATTACTGTCTTGGATGCAATAATTATGATTTATGATGCTTGGAACAAAATTTCACAACGTACAATTTTCAATTGTTATAAACATGCAGGATTTGTTGAAAACAGTGATAGTTTATCGTCTCAAGAAGTCACTGAACAAGAACCTGACGCTGATATAGACGCTGAAAATAATGAACCCCTATCTTTGTGGGTTAAAAATTTTAATTCGCAATCGCTGACTTCAGTTAAATCATGGGATGATTATGTTGTCATTGATGGCAACGTTATAACATCAGAAGAACTAACGGATGAAAATATCGTTAAAGAAGTCATAAATGGGCAACCAGAAAGTGAAGAAGATGACAAGGTATGTATAAATAAATAAACAAATGTAGATAAATAAATAAAAAAAGTATAAATATTAAATATTTCAGCAAGACAAGGAAGATTTCGAGGAAGAAAACCCTACGGCAGCAGAAGCTTATGGAGCCGCAGTGTTACTGACGCGATTTGTTCACAGTAACATCACCGACGATAAAATTAAAAAAATGATGTCTATTTTGCATAACACTGTCAGAGATTCCTATTATAATTTGAGAAAAGCACCCAAACAAACAAAAATTATAGATTTTTTAAATATTAATAAATAATAATATCGAATAATAAATAATATTATTTGCAATTTAGACAAAGAAACAAATAAACAAAGAATGTCTGATGCTGTAAATACTTCTTACTTTTACTGTGTTTTTATTTCATTTGCTTATAATGTGGATGATGTGGTAAGGGGGAAAGAGGGCGCTAAGCTCGGCGATATAGCACCAACAACAAATTATTATTTTCTAAACTTTGGGGGTGTACAGTGCCCCACTTGAATTCGGGTTGTACAAATATCTAAAAAGTTCGTGATAATGAGTTGAAAATTGAAAAGAAAGCATTTAAGTTACAGCGAGCAAGCGGAGGTACTAAAGAAATTGAAAAAGAAAATAAAAAATTCAAGTATATACTTGTAACCTATGCTTTTTCAGCATCATACGGCCCTGAATGTTTATGTGACCTTGCATCAAGGGTACTCTTGCTGCAATGGACCACACAGGACATACAAGTCCATTACAACGAGAGTTCAGTGTAACTCAACTCGGGCGACAAAACTTGCAGAGTTTCCAGTGATTGGAACAGCAATTCCACATGTATGCGAAGTCGCAGAGACGTTGCGAGCACCGTATCCCCACTGCGCCATCTACTCAATGCACTCCCCTTCTGACGTCACAGAGGGGAGTGCATTGAGTAGATGGCGCAGTGGTGATACGGTGCTCTCAACGTCTCTGCGACTTCGCATACATGTGGAATTGCTGGAAAGATTCCGCCTCTTACCAAGAGGAGCAAACGTGACTTAGGCCGGTCGCACTGCTAATTGGAAAGTGACTGGAAGAAATTCTGTGCCATTGGTGCTGGACTGTCACTAACTCTTGGCCTTGCGTCCCATGGGGGAGCATGTGGGTACACACGTTTATGGAGACCCCGCAAGTACAACCGTGTAGTCGATTATCTTGTCAGAGTCGAATGGTGGGGGTTGAACCCACCATGGGAGCACCCGTGTCAATGCAAACTCCACCACACCACTAACAATAGTGGGACGTCGAGAAAAATTAGTATCTACGCGATTGTTATATTTCTTTTATTATTTTATTTTTGGTTGAACAAAAGTGAGCTCGTGTGGTCTCGATTTATTTTTTAAATTAATATTTTCTTAATATTCTTTATTTCCGATTTCTTATGTCGGTCGACGGAATTATGTATTTATAAATCGAAATGTATTTATGTTATCTTTTTTAACCTGTCTTATTGTCATTGACTACGCCAGTTTGAAAATCTGACATTATATTCATAATCAAAAACCCCGGAGTTACGAATTTCAGGGAAATTGAATAAATTTTTTTAAAGTAGACAAATATTACACATAAAAATGTTCCCACAACTTTAAACGCGTTTTTCTCGAAACAAGACTTTTCAAATCGATGAGCATCATAGCGTCTGAATTATTTGACAAATCGCCTTCGGGTTTGCGGCTAATTAAAGGTAACTAAATTCTGCTGGGGTCATACCTTTAATATGATACAATTATTAACAATAAAGATTTTTTACAAGAGGCCAAACATGAAAAAGTAAGGTAAGAAACGCAAGGTTTTAAACAATTGTCTGCCATTTTTTTATTAGTTTAACTTTTGTTGGAAATACAACTATATTTGCGACATATTTATTTTCTATGTACAAATTGTGAAATTCAAGAAAAGTTGTAAGAGTCCGTTTATGACCTCCCCACTTCATGTACATCCCCGAACGAAGGTCCTAAGGTCTGTACTCAGGTAATTTGAAGCCAGTCCTCGTTTACCCGTTGTCAAAATAAAGTCTACACTAATTTTCATGCCAAAATCCTTGTGTACATTTTATTTCTCTATCCAGTCCTTGCGCGTATATTCTCTGCATTTAGTCATTTTTCTAACAGGTTATGGGCTCAGAGACCAGAGACTTGATATAGTTAAAGTTCAATAAAGTGTATGATAAGGATATAAAGTGTTTGTGCGTATACAACAAGTGTAGTTTTCAAGTGTACCACATTCAAATTCAGAAATAAAGAAATAATTAAAGAACAGTTAATCAAAGTTTTTATAGACAATTAAAGTACAGTATATAAAGTCAGGTTAAAGTTAATAAAGAACAGTTAAAGTGAATAAAGAACAGTCAAAGTGAATAAAGAACGGTTTAAGTGAATAAAGACAGTTACAGTGTTAAAAATGGGAGACAGTACGAGATTTCGTTTTTCAGTTGATAAGTTGAATAACAATAATTACCAAACATGGAAGTATAAAATGGAGTTATTGTTAATTAAAGATAAATTATGGGAAGTGATCACAAAAGATACTCCAGAACCAGTGACGGATGCGTGGACTCAAAAGGACGATCAAGCTCGTGCAAATATAGGACTTTTAGTTGAGGATAATCAACTTATACATGTAAGAAATGCAAAAAGTGCGCGTGAAGCTTGGAAGAATCTAAAGGAATATCACGAGAAAGACACATTATGCAGCAAAATATTTCTTCTGAAACGCATATGCAGGATAACGTTGCATGAAG